TGGCGAAATACTCTTAGTGGATATTTGTCAAAACTTTTTCGTGAAGGCCCTTCATTCTAATGATGCACTTTTTGTCTGTTGGGCATCTTTTAATTTTCATTTTATTCGAAGAATAAAAATGATAAAGTCTTTGGGACTTGATCAATCTAGTCTGAAGAATGTGCCCAGCATCTAACTTCTATTCAGAATCGTTGTAGCTTCTGAACTTTAACCCTTCCAGGTTAGTCAGCTAACTACTCACCCCTCTGACCCGTGGAACTTATGGTTTGTAAACAGCTCGATCCGACAGTAGCTATGATAACGTGCTATACAAAACTCCATCCCATTCGTACCCCTACCGTAGTTTCTCATTCTTTAGATAAGAACTCGAAGGTCGAGTGTGATGCGGAATGTTCTTCGTCAGATGAAGTAACAGCCACAAGGAGATCAATCCTAGCATTTGTCCCACCTTTCCAGAAAATTGCGTTGCTCCTATCAGCAATGGTACCGTGATGAGCATTACCAATGTCATACGCCAACTGAAATCATATACAATGAAAAATTCGATAAGAAAGAAGAGAGGGCTGATTACCCTTTTATGACTATTTTCCCAACCCCTTCTTGACTGAATGACGAAATAGATCTCGCCAAAAATGTACTCATGCAGGAAGGTTGATTTACCGGTACAGCAACAGCTGTTAGGGAAAAAACGACAAAAAACCAGTACTAATCCTTTTATGACTACTGCGTCTTCCTTGTGGATCAAACTTTTACTTGCTCATACCTTTTAAGTGCAGCAAAAAAGTGATAACAAGCAGTTCTTTCTCTACGTTTTTATAGAATGTTGTTACTGAGTGTAGTATATTTGCTGTTTCGATGTAAGACTCATGAACAATTTTTCAACATGTAGAGAGTGAAAAAAGCCTAAAACAAGCAGACTTACCTCAAATAGAAACCCAGTGAGATTCCACCGATGAAACTTCCAATCGACGCGAGGATTAGTCCAAGCTTATCTCCGATACCATCCTTTATTCGTTCCATTCCACTTCAACGAGTAGAAATTTTATAATTTTTTCGAACCCGTTCTGATTTGACGTTCCAAAAAGGAAATCAGATAGATTTTTGGGTTTAGTTAGCTTGGCTACGGGATCTCAGAGGCAGTTTTTCAGTCGAACATGGAGGAGGTTAATTCAGTTCACTTCTTCTTTGATCGTTGCAGGCCTCTCAGGTCAAAGCTATAGGCAGGGAATAGCCCAAGTAAAGAATGAGAACTGCAGCAGTGGCAGTAGTAAGTTTGATATAATCCTCCTACATACAGCTAAGTATTTTCTAATGATTTACCTACCGACCTGCTCATTTTCATGGTAAGTGCTCCCGTTTGTTGTTGATCCAACCATGTCATGTCCTGACGCAGTACTGCACGAAGATACCTGGCTCTAATGGAGTGTATCCGTCGCTCGCACAGCGTATACAGACTCGCATTCTGCCATATTAACATAAAAGTAGTAATACTGGTAAGGTAACAGTAACATACGCAAAGGTAATATTGCATACTAACCATGAGCGAATTTCTAGGTCAGGAAATGAATATGACGTATTATTACTAATGAATATCATTACTCTACTAATGAATGAAACCGATTTTACAGAAAGAATTCGATTGGTGAACTCAAAATGGACTAAATAACTTCACAGGTGGGTGAACCCACCATCTGAAAAGCCATTACAAACCTTTAACACGCAGTTCGCGACAAATTAGGTTTCTGGGATATGTCTCAAGGATGAACTGTAGCCTTCTTGTGTACCATATGTGGCGCTGTCAGATCAGAAAACGGCCCAGATAGGGCGTTACAAGGGCTCAAAGACTGTAACGGCTGCAAGCTACACCTGGAGGCGGACGAGTATCAACGGCTTTGTAGAGGCTACATCTGTCATAAAGTACGCCCATGTTGCAATCCAAATCAGTAGTGTCACATGGAGACAGCGGAAAGTAGCTTTGAACTTTCTGGGCCCAACGTATACAGCCCTCTACTCAATTGCGACAAGAGAAACCTCGTCCAAATAAACATTCCATGGCATTTCGGTCATAAATCTCGTTGAAACTCTATTTTCACGTCTTTCACGAAACCTTGATATTCCGTGAAGTTAGCGAGTCTTTGCTATCTGTTCTCCTCAGGCACTTTCACTTTTCAACCTAGGAAGGATTTTTCGGAATCATCGCAAACTGTGCCTTCAAGCCTTTACATTTCTTTACATAATGACGGTCCCATTCACTTAATTGTAAGAGTAGAAGTACGATGGAAGTAGTAGGATTGGCTTTAAACCCTACTGAAGATACTTATCAAACTCGCAGAACTTTTTTTGAAATCGAAAGTTTTAGACTCTTTCTGGGTAATCAGCTCAATAACTGTTACATATACTATTAGTTACGAACTGCTACTATCGAGATAATAGATGGATGTGTATTTCTTACCGAAATGTATCCAATTGCGAGTAGTGCAAAACCTAGACCGAGGTAAAGGCCACAGTAAAGTAGAACATTGGTGGTAAAGACATCCATGTCGAGCTCATTCCTTGAGTGATTACGTTCGCCAGTAATCAGAGTGTCTGCCATTCCTGAATCGAGTAATTCTAGGCGCTTCGTTTGGGATGAATTTTAAATACTACCTCCACAGATCAAGCTACTTAATCAAAGTTTTTAATACGCCTTTTTTGGAGAGTCGAAATTAACGACCACTCTCTTTGTTTGCAGGACATTTTGTCACTTAATGTGAATGTTCTAGCTGCAGATGAAAACCGAAGCAGCTCAATCCTTAAACCCTGCATGAAGTCTATTTGCAGCGCAGGGATGGAGGGTATTCTTCTGCAATAGGTTACTCCCAGCCCTCACCCAGCTAAGTTTTGCTATCTAACCAAAAGAGTAACGTCTCAGTTTTAGAAGGAGGTGGTGTAGTGGCATCGGACACTATCGCACATGGTCACGCGTGGTCACGGGTTCGAATCCATGATCGACATCCGCCGGTCCAACGAAGCCCTCCAACCATTCGGGATCAGTTGATTAGTACCAGCTGGAGTGGGAGGACAAAAGCCCTCCACTGGCTGACCACCGAAAAGAGTAAACTACATACGCTTTCAATCGCCACCACGATTCCGAATTAAAGTCGATTGCGGGGTGCATCCCTTGAACTAGATTGAATGACGCCAAAAACTTCATCCTTTCATATAATTTCAGCGTTCGAATTCGAAATTTGACGTCTGAGAAATGCACTTTGGCGAGTCAAGCCTCAGGGCTTATGGTAATGCATGATGATTTCCACATGCACGTTTACTTATCGATGCAAAAAATTCCTTTCCATTACAGAGTGCTGACAGGAATCTTTTACGAGTTTATAATTCACTTTCATGCTTTTGAAATCAACTTTCTAGTGGTCTGCTCTGGTCGAATCATTAATAACTCCGAGTTTCATTTGTTCACGGAAAAAAATATATTAAGGTTGAATAAACATCAATAATTTAGTGGAACTTGTGGGGTCTCGTTTGTGATAAAACTCGTGGAAGTTATAAAAGCATAACCAAGGTGAAGGGAAGTGATTCAAAATTTGGCAAAATAGCGAAAGTTTAATCGGATGCTCAATGTGTTTCACTCCAACTTCTAACAACAATAACTAGTAGAAGTGGAACCATACTCAGCCAAAAGAAAGACAGCGATGGTGTACGATACCGGGGCCTGGGAACAAAACGGTATTGTTCAAGGCAACAAAACGGCAGTTGACGTCACTTGCTTTCCGTTCCAAAATTTTATGGGCTTTGAAACCTTTTTGTGAGCTCCATGTGGCTTGTGGAATGGCTACTTTTGGTAATTTGGTAATATTCTGGTATAGCATATGATACTCCGANGGTGTACGATACCGGGGCCTGGGAACAAAACGGTATTGTTCAAGGCAACAAAACGGCAGTTGACGTCACTTGCTTTCCGTTCCAAAATTTTATGGGCTTTGAAACCTTTTGTAAGCTCCAAGTGGCTTGGGGAATGGCTACTTTTGTTAATTTGGTAATATTCTGGTATAGCATATGATACTCCGACATAGAATAGGCTCTAACGTAGCTCACAGTGGTAGACAGTAGAGTTTACCAATACAGGACAAAGTCTTACCTTGGAATACAAGCGAATTCAGAGGCAATATAGCTCCGTTGACGAGGCTGAACACAACACCAAGCAGAAGAAAAACGTAGTCCAGGCATGATGCCCCTCGCATCTGAAATCAACCGGGCCATTACCGTATCGACAGGGGCTATTCTTTAGAAAAGTTCTGGTGCCATTTTACACGAATGCGTTCCTTTCAAAGCAAAATGCAGAACCAAAATCTTCCTCAAAAAGTTCAGCTCAAGAAACTCACGATATCAAGAAGTCCAGCCTGACGAGGCGCTTTCTTTCGCTTTGTATTGCGAACTTTCTCCAATGGAGAAATCTTCATTGTGATGAAAGTATTGAAGTATTGTTGGACTAGGACGGCAATGAATGTTCAATTCAACAGGCGTTTTCAATGGTAGAGCTGTTGACGGCAGTCGTCGGTATCACAGTTTTATAATCGACTCACAAGTTTCACCATAATTTATTCACAGCGACAGATTTATGCCTACAGAAACCACAAACTCCAACACATACCAGCACTGCGGGACTGAAGGATTGAGGCACCTGAAAAAGACTTCAGTAACAGAATGTCACAGAAGACCACAGTTGGAAAAGTTTTAATCATGAGCTCGAAGACTCAAAAGTCGTTGACGAGCTTACCGTGTTCCAAGGCCAAGCTCGAGATGCAATACATATCAATAAATAAAGGGCTCATGGTATATGGGGCTCAACTTTCCTAATCCATCTATGAAGGATAGAGAGTACCCATGTTCCGATCCGGAGAAGAAACAAGGAACCCCTATGCTTCGCTCCATACTGCCCCCGTCTCATAGTGGCACACAAACAATGGTTTCGAAATTTTATTTGCTTCGAACTATGAAGCAAGTGGATTTCTGCCTTTAAGGCAAATTTCTTTTCTTTCATCTCTAATAATAGACTCATTGGTCTTACCCCGTTTTTTTTTTTGATTTGACAGACCGAGCCTCTAGTGTTCACGGTTTTTAGTTTTTAGAGTTTCTAGGCACTGTTCACGATAAAAATAGTTTCTGAGTTCTTCCCTTAGCAATACTCAGTAGCCCCCAAGGGTAATATAATAGAAAGAACCCTTTCGCGCCCAAAATCTCGTGGGTCAGGGCATAATGGCAGCCCTGTTCTCGAGTAGAGCATAACGTGAGCGGTAGAGATGATCCATCCAAGACGGGGTACCGGAACTTTCCCCGATTGCAGCATCCTCCCTTGCGGCATGCGGCAAATGTCACTGCAATTACTGTACTCACCCCCTCCCCCTCTCCCCCCC